TGTAGTTTCATATTTTAAAAAGTAGCTCATTATTTCATTTTTGCAATCATTTAATATTTCTACATTCAAATGTTGTATTTAAACTTAACATAACTTATGCTAAATCCATCTATGGATTTTGTTTATAGTGATTTCATTTGATAGTTAATAGACAACATGTTTTTTTATTCAGATTGAATTTATTAAATTTAAGAATCTGACATAAAAGGACACATATATGACAATAAATTTTCATAATAATACATCTCTTTGGTTTTTTCTGCTCAGTGTTATTTCAGGGTTTTGCTCTCTCAACTGAGAGATCACATCCTGTTTATTGTATTATAGTGACTATTTAATATTACATCTAAACTTTGACTAGGCTAGACATGTTGCCTATTAATTGTATACAGTATATGAACCTGAAAGCATATTTTAATTTTTGTGTATTTTGTGTTACTCCATAATAATGTTCTAGTTGAGGGCATTTGTAGTATAGGTATGGGGCCCAAACATAACCTCAAGCCCAGGGGCCCCCGGCCCCGTAAGTCCTGCCCTGACCCTGCCACACTGTAAAAATTGTTCAGCAATGGTTTGAGGAACATGACAAAGGGTTCAAGGTGTTGCCTCGGCCTCCAAATTGCCCAGATCTCAATCCGACTGAGCATCTATGGGATCAACTAGACCAACAAATCCAGTCATGGAGGCCCCATCTCACAACTTACAATACTTAAAGGATCTGCTGCTAATGTCTCGGTACCAGACACCACAGGACATTCAGAGGTCTTGTGGAGTCCATGCCTCGACGCATCAGAGCTGTTTTGGCAGCATGAGTGACCTACATGATATTAGGCAGGTGGTTTTAATGTTGTGGCTGATCATTGTATACTTTTAAAACCCTCCCCCGACCTAGTTCAGCTCTGTAATTTTTTCATCCATGAATGCATTTGTGCATCTAACAGTGTAATTCTTTAAAATGATCACTGATGATTGCCTCTGTACAAAGCCTGATTGTACTTAAGGTTCCAAAAACAAGTTTAATGCGTCCCCAGTGCGATCTAAATCAGGGAGATTGATTGTTTCTGATGTCGCAGGTCACAAATAGATCTAAATTGCCGTGACCAAATCGGTTACATTTTCGGAACGACGGACAGGTCCTGACAGATTGCAGGCCATGCCGTGGGCAGCTGCGGTGCTCCAGATGTGCTTTCTGGGATGACGGGATCAAAGTTAAACACTAGCAGATGTTTCCACGCCCTCCTGGACAGGCACAGCAGGAGGAAGAAAAGGTTGTCCTCCAACATCAACCCATTCCAAGGGGAGCGAGAAACACAGAACCCTGGACTGCTTTGTGGTTCTCATGTCAGCGTGCTCCCTAAACATTTAAATCACTTGCATTTTAAATTCCCTCTGAAAGCCGGAGAGATGGATGCGGAGAGGGTCGAGAGCAGGGTGAGATATGGGTTACTGCACTGGAGAGGAGGATGAAGAATGAAAAGGAAATGAGAGGTATAAAAGCTGTAGAAAGAAAAGAAAAAGAGAAAGAAAAAGAGAGGTTCGGGGAAGGCAGAGGTGGGCTGGGGCGAGGCGGCGAATATGGAACGGAGGACAGAGAAAAAGAAAGGAAGGGAAACAGAAAGGCTTAGGTGAAGTATAGCATTTACCTTTTCTCCTGGAGAGATAATGGGCTCTCTGGGGCGCTATAAAAGTTTCATTCTGTCCCACCTCCTGGCAGCCAAGAGTAATGACAGTGGTGTCTGGGTCAACGGGATCACGGCACTAAAAAGTTGCAGTGCTGTAACCACCAGAGAGAGAGGCTTGATGTCGAATGTTTTGACAATGTTTTTACAACGTCCTCACAGAGTCCAGTGTGTATAAATTCACTGACAGTATGACTTGTGTTGGTAAAATCTCCCCTGGCGTGAACCATTCACCTATAGCAGAGACCACAGCACTCCAATGACACGGCAATCAAATGAGAGACAGAGTGAGTGAATGGTATGAAACCCCTTGAAATTAAGAATGAAGGCGTCAGGATGCTCCTCACATCTCACAACTCGGCTCATTTAAACTGCTCTATTTACTGTCAAGATTTTAAATAGAGAGGTCGTAAAGAGACGATTCCTGCAAAAAATGAACAGTTTCCCATCCTTTATGTACACTGTAAAAATGATTGACGTTTCAAATAAAACAAAGATTATTGGAGTGTGTTTTACAAGAAAATACTATTATAGCCTTTCTACTTCAAAATTGAATGTTTAATTTAGTATGTTCAGTATGCTTTTTCTTTGTAATTATTTGTGAAATGTACTTGCAATTTCTTAGTGAAAATTGTCGTAATCAAAGTAAATCCTACACCTTTTTTTAATACCATTAAGTAATTACGTGGGGCTGTCATGCTCCAAAATAAAAAAAAAAGTTATAAATGTATAAAAATGTAGTTGATAGGGCTTTCATTCCAAGCCATTCAGTAGCATTGTGAAGAACTGACTAAAATGTATCTGAAAGTTAACCATTGGAAATCCTGTGATAACTGTCCTCAGTGCATCCATGAGCAAAGTAGTGATTTTAGATTCATTGTCTTTACAATACAATAAATCAATCCCAAATTTACAGTGAAAAGCTGGCACAGAACAGAAGCGTTTCTAGGTGCCTATACACAGACTGTTAAATGCTGCTCAAAGGCAGTGTAAATGCATTTTCACAGCAATTACAAGTGTATATTTTTTTATATTAGTAAATAAGGTGGGTTGGGTCAAAGCGAGCTAAATTTAGTCTGGCTTTGATGCGGCATTGTGTCTTTACACTGAACTTTGAGCAGGCACAGAGCAGCATTTATTTGGCTGTGTAAAATAAGTTGGTTCAAATTTGACTGATCCAATTCTCAAGTTCAACTCACTTACAAAGCAGAGGTTAAAAGCTCACTGGAGTGAATGAATTTCTGTGAATAATTTAAATTTACAACTTCCCTCACACTAAAAGATCAAATAGTTATTCAAAATCATCTCATTGTATGTTTATTGGAAGAGAGACAGATTTAGAACGACATGAGGGCGAGTAATACATCAGAATTATAACTTCTGAGTTAACTGTTCATTTGCATGTTCAAAACATCAATACCAGACCAAAAGATTATTTGCAAGTTGGCAAGTGGATGTTTCAAGCTGAGAAATTTCAGGTAGAATATTTTCATGACTTATTGTTCTCTTGCACAGTCCTCTCTCACTCTATCTGAGGAAAAGAAACTATGTTCAGAAATGAATATGTCCCTGGACTCAAGCTCATGCATGGCCAGAGCAAAAGCACCTGTGATAATTCTTACACATTATCAGAATGTCTGGTGAAGTTGAGTAGCTATTGATTTCTGAGGAAAAAAAAAAAACCTGCAAAGTCACAATCAGAGCTCCCAAAGCTCATGAGTCTGAACGCCTCTGACAAGAACTAAAATAGAGACACACAATAGCTGCTGTCTGAGGGGACATGGCTTCCAATGAACATGCAGGTAGATACAGTGTGTGTCACAAAGATCATCTATGAACACATTTATAGTTTAGTTCTGTTTGGAGTGGCCCACTGAGGGCTCTTCTTGATCGTCAGTGCATGTGCAGTGCATATTACATATGAATAGTGCAACAGAGATTAAATAATGTCTGCTGTCTCCATATTTAATGACATCGGTTGATTGGTAAGAGTAGACAAACAGATGTTTTTAAAGATGAGCTTTTATTTTGAGCTCTGCAGCACTCAGTCAGCAGCACAAGTTGGTGGTCTTACCGGGGGAAAAAATTGAGTAGATCATTTGATCTGCGCTTTAGGCCACAACTAAGATAAAGGATTCTGTCTTTATGGGGTTCACAATTTGTGTGCCGCTAGCAGTGTAATTAGGGTGATAACTGCTTTAGTGGGATCATCTGTTGCCGTGATACAGTCTAATTAACCTATTTCTAGCTGGCCCGGTGCATTTATGGCCCTAATGAACACTTCCAACGACAACAGAGGAAAAATCATTGACAAAGCCCAATCCCCAGTGGCCTGATTTAACAGATATAGTGGGGTGATGTTTCATACTCACCATCCACTATAAGAGAGAGAAGACGGCTAATGAGGGAATTTGGTCATTTCAGTACCCCCTTCATCTCGTTATATGGTCCCAAATGCACACGGTTATTGTAACCTGCGATGTGTCCCAGAGCCAGTGCAGATTGAAAAAAAAAATGGATGTGTGACAGAAGCAACAGAGAAAAGAGCAACACACAGCAAATACACCGCTAATGAGACCATGAAGGCACCAGATAGAGCATGTGGTATTTATAAATGTTTTTATCACTCTTACAGCATGTCTGTGTGTGCATGCAAATATAGATTTGAGATTCAGAAGATTCAGTGTGTTATTATGTGATGAATTTACCCTGTTACTTTTTCTCTCTATTTTCTCTGGACTGGTAAACAAATTTATTAAAACTGCAGTCCGTAACTTTTTTTGGTTCAAAATGATCCGAAATCAATATTTGAAGTACATAACCAGCCAGTGTTCAAAACTATCGCCTTACTTTAGCCCGATTCACAGCGGTTAGCTTATAATAATGTTTTCTAATTTGAGTGGTACGGGTAGGTTTTTGCGGGAAATTCGAGCATGCCGCTGCATCATTACGTCACGTCTGTAAACATAAAGAAGTTGTCCTGGCTAGTAGGCTATATCACATGTGCAGATCCTGCAGGTGGAGCATCGTTTATAGCCGTTTCTCACAGCATCCAGAATAATTAAATGTATCATTTGGATGCCGGATTGTAATCCATAAAGGATTATGTGTTTATGAAACACATGTGAATGAAATTTAATTATATTTCAGTTATAAATGTGCTTCTGATTACAGATAGCCTGGGATTACAAAGATTTGTATTTTAAAGAAAACCAGTTCGAAGGGAGCATAATTAGCTTTTTGGGTTAAAATAATTTCTTAATATGAAATTCGAATGGTATGACTAGGGTTGGGTATCGTTTAAATTTTATCGAGCCACTACTCTGGCCAGTACTTTGATGGAGCAGTACATGAAGGCCACCGCCACTCCTTTCGTCCATCACGCCCTCAAAGACACCATACTGAAGGTCATGGAGAGCAAGCAGTCCTGTGAGGTAATGGAACTAAATAGAACGATGTTGTTCAGTGGACAAAAACGTCGCACTGTTAACATCAGGCTAATCAGATCTGTAAATGTTCTCATCTCCTTGTTCTGATGTATTGTGTTTAGTGTTTCTGAGGCAAATCCATCAACATGATGTTCTCTCTAAAGCCTTGGGCAAATTGGCTTTTGTCAGGTTTCTGTTGAATAGTGAATAAACTGAACTGGCAGTCAGAATCCTTTTCCCTCATGTGGTGTGTTTTCTGGTCTCCCTCCATAGCTGAACCCGTCTAAACTAGAGAAGAATGAGGATGTTAACCTGAATCTAGCTCACTTACTCATCATCCTGTCGGAGCTGGTGGAGAAGATATTTATGGCTGCTGAGATCTTGCCCCCGTAAGCATGATAGCACACCACCATATCCGCATTACTGCTTTGTAGTACAACCGTAGAAATGTGGAACCACACTACCTATACTAATCCATATATTGCCATGGCATCACAAGTGTCATTACAATGTTTATATACAGTAGGAATGCAAAAATGTATCGGTTTAAAGCAGCTTATATTCATTGTATTTTTATTATTTTGGGGGGTAAATATTGTATATTTCTAGGTCAAGATTTGGTATTTAATTGTTAGATTTTCAGTTACTCTTACCATCATCTAGTGCTCATTTCGAAGGACGGTGCAAGAATATTATAAAGATTTAACCTTTTAAGAGCACTATTTCTTGAATAAAAATGTTCTTATGTTAATAAGATAAAATGATAACATGTTTGGGATTGGAACATTTTTTTATGTTTTGAGAGAAGTTTATTATGCTATATAAGGCTGAGTTTATTTGATCAAAAATACAGTAAAAACTGTAATATTGTGAAATAACATTACAATTTAAAATAACTGTTTCTGTTTCAATATATCTTAATGTAGATTATTCCTGTTATGGCTAAGCTAAATTTTCAGAAGCCATAACTCCAGTATTACTCCAGTGCCACATGATCCTTCAGAAATCATTCTAATATGCTGATTTGGAGCTCAAATTACATATCAATGTTGAAAACAGTTTTTTGCATTTATTTGAAATAGAAATCTTGTGTAACTTACATTTCTTTACTGACACTTCTGTTAAAATTAATGCATCCTTTCTGAATAAAATAATTAATTTCTTTCCAAAAAAAGAAAACAATAATATAATTAAATATACTTGAATATTATATGTTTTTTTTTATTTTAGGCATAGTAGTATACATTTGTAACATTAGCTTATTATTGGTCATCAGCCATTACAAAATAATATCCGCTTAACAGAATAATTATTATAAGAAAATAATATCAGCTTATCATAAAGACCAGATTTTTATATCAGTGCATCCCCACTATATTATCTTCCTGTCCATATTGTGCTGAATTGATTATACACTTCTTTATGGTACAACGCTGTTTATACAGCCTTAGTATTCATAGTTTGTCTGTTTCCTCCTTGTCTAAGGACCCTGAGGTACATTTATGGCTGTCTTCAGAAGTCTGTGCAGCAGAAATGGCCTACCAACACTACAATGAGAACCCGAGTTGTGAGGTAACACATTGTCAAGCTACATTTGCATGTGTTTACAGAGCAACATCTTGCAAAGTGCCAAAATGTGTTTGTCTCTGTCCTCCAGTGGTTTTGTCTTCCTAAGGCTCATCTGCCCTGCCATTCTCAACCCCAGAATGTTCAACATCATTGCTGGTGAGTGCACAGCTTGCACACAAGCACTTTTTTTTAAGATTCAACATACTTAGGTCAAGTACCCACTCAAATATTTCATTCTGCACCTGTTAGAGCTTCAGTCTGATAGAAGAGCACTTAACGGTCCAAATGTGTAAAAGGCATAAACATGTCATAGTGAGGCAAAGTCAACAGCCTTTTGCATTTTTATACGAAAGTGGATTTGTTGTACATTTTATATTAGTTGGAATAAAATATTTGGGGAAAAAAAGTTTTTTTGTTAATGAAGGGTTTTAAAAATCTTCCTAACAAAAATGTCAGATCATAAGAGCATACAAATGTAATGAATAGTAATGTATTTTTAATTAATTTTAATAAAATTGTAATTTAATTTGAAAGCAATCTACATATACTGTTGGATAAATGCAAGACAAAAATAACACTGCAGTAAATTGCCAGTGTTTGTCAAGGATAAAGAAACATTTATTTGTTAAGTTGTAAAGGAAGTTAATACTTAACGCTGCAGTCCGTAACTTTTTTTGGTTCAAAATTATCCAAAATCAATATTTGTGCAAGTACATAACCAGCCAGTGTTCAAAACTATCGCCTTACTTTAGCCCGATTCACAACGGTTATCTTATAATAATGTTTTCTAATTTGAGTTGTACGTGTAGGTTTTTGCGGGAAATTCGAGCATGCCGCTGCATCATTACGTCACGTCTGTAAACATAAAGAAGTTGTCCTGGCTAGTAGGCTATATCACATGTGCAGATCCTGCAGGTGGAGCATCGTTTATAGCCGTTTCTCACAGCATCCAGAATAATTAAATGTATCATTTGGATGCCGGATTGTAATCCATAAAGGATTATGTGTTTATGAAACACATGTGAATGAAATTTAATTATATTTCAGTTATAAATGTGCTTCTGATTACAGATAGCCTGGGATTACAAAGATTTGTATTTTAAAGAAAACCAGTTCGAAGGGAGCATAATTAGCTTTTTGGGTTAAAAGAATTTCTTAATATGAAGTTCGAAGAGTATGACAAATAGATTAGACTGTGCAGAAATTGAAATCTACACTCTAATACACACTATACTCATAGTCACCAATGCTGATGCTGTTAACATTAATCATTTGAGAATAAAGTATAACAATAATAATAATTTAAATGGTTTGATGTGATGAGCTAACCGATCTTTAGATTTAATCACCATTGGTAGCGAGATTTATGGTAATGCTTTTTTCCTCAGTTGGTCAGAACAAACGTGGCAGACTTGTTACTTACTTGTTCAGATGGCAATATACGGTGAAAATTCTTATTTGGGTCATATTCCAAGACGTAGACTAGAATCTGTGATTGCGAAGTACAGTAAATATCCACACCGGTGCGGTGACTGACTGCCACACATACGATTGTCACACAACGCTGCTGTTAGGGAGACGAAGGCAAAAACGTCCATGGGTGTGACAGAAGTGAGGTATTTTAAAGCAAAGCTAATTTACTCAGCCACTGAGTCATTTCAATGAGATCTATTTACATTCTGCTTTTTTTTTTTTTTAAATTAATCGCAAAAATGAATCCATATTCACCAGTACTAGGTTCATTCATACATTTAAAGCAGTGACATTGTGGCTCATTTGGTCTCAGTTTAGCCATTTTGTAACACTGAATGCTGTAGGTTTTTGGTTCTGCAAACTAAATGTATTAATTATAATAACTAATGGTTATGACCTTGAATATAAAACCATATCTGTATGCAGATACAGATATATCATATTCATTCTTTATGCACAAAGATGACTTCATGACTGAAAAAAATGTGTTGACCTTACCTAAATTATGTACATTTTTGTCAACTGATTGCAGCTATTAGGCTGATTTGTGACATTGTGTATAGCTGTCTGTCTAAATTGTAAATCTGCCTGTCTATATATTGAAACATTTGGTTGCCATTAAATAGTCTGTAAAATAATTTTAGAGAATTGCTGGGGGGGGGGGGGACGCTGTAATTCTGTAACCCTAAACTCTATCTGACCTATATTCCAGCTGTTCATTGTGCATTGACAAATAGGTTTATGCTTTAAATTGTATAAAGCTATTTAGGTCACTAGTAATGTCCTTATATTGAAAAATAACCTAATTGTAACATGAGTAGAGCCCTCTGTGGCTTATTAAGAAGCTACATCATTTACAGACCATATTGTGAGCACAGTGATGAAGCAGCTATTAGAGACATTGACCAACGACAAGAACAAAGTAAACAGTGTTCAAAACAATAAGAGAAGCACAGAATGTTTTCTTTGACCTGTTTAGTCTGTCAGTTACATTATTAAGGAACCAAAGCACTGCATTGTGTCTCTCCTGATTGTCCAGTCAGGGTTGTCATTTAGGTCAAATGGCTCTTTTTGTCCAGTTCCCTCAGACTGCTTTATACTTTTGTCTGTTGCTGAAGCAAATAAATACTAATGGTAATGAGAGGCCTGCATGAGTGAAGAAATTGATGAGCTTATCTCTTGTTCTGTCAATACAGACAAAATCATTAACAACTAATGCGAGTGTGAGCAAAGGTGAGAGATTTTAAAGCAGTCTTATTTCTTCTTTCCTATGTCAGATAATATTTACATTGACAGCCTGAAATGACACTGTCTGGGAAAGAATTTAGATGTAATATGATCAACTTATAATAATAATAATAATAATAATAATAATTATTATTATTATTATTTGGTTTCTAGTAGTGCTGTCAAATGATTAATCACGATTAATTGCATCCAAAATAAAAGTTTTTGTTTACATAATATATGTATGCATATACTGTGTATATTTATTGTGAATGTATAAATACACACACATGTATGTATTTATTTTGAACATGCATATATGTATATTCATATAATTTATATTATTTATAAATATATTTAATATATAAACATAACATTTTTCTTAGATATATGCATGTATGTGTGTGTGTATTTATATATACTTAATAAAAATACACAGTATGCACACTTATATTATGTAAACAAAAACTTTTATTTTGGATGCGATTAATCGTTTGACAGCACTAGTTTCTAGTAAGTCTTAATACTCACAAGCCTCCTATTTTTCGTGGTTAATTCTAACTTTGGCTGATGTTGGGTACAAAATAAAGTATTACTGTAACGTAATATTTTATCTGTTCAGTTATTCACATCACCTAATACAGTATTAAATATCTGCATAATATCCGTTTTTCCTGTAGCAATTCCTGTTATATATTTAAAAGGTCTTCAAAATTTGAGAAGTGATTTACTGCCTTAAAAAATCTTAAATCATAAATCATTTAGGCAATACTAGTTGATGTTACATGTAACACCTATAGTTTCACTTAGAGTACAGATAAACTTTGCTTCAGAAGCTAAAGTCTCCCTTCTGCAGGGACTTCCAACAGAAAGTAGTTCGTTGTTGTTTTCTTCTATATGATAAACAGGCCCTGAAAGCTTTCAGGCAGCATCATTAACAATGTACGACGATGCTCATGCCCCTCAAACTGCACAAATTAATCATTTTAATCTAATCCTATCGTCCTAATCAAAGGCCCCCGCTTCTGTTTTATTTATTGCGCCCTTAACCTTAGTAATTAACTTATGCATGAATTTATTATTCAAGATTCTCCCTGAATGGGCCTATTTAACCAGATGCAAATAATCATTTGGGCGTCAGATTTTGTGTTCGTTCCGTCTTGGAAGGGAAAGACTCCTTCTAGTGACACTTGAGGGTGACATTTCTAGTCGTACTGTCTGAATCCATTCCCTTACATTTAAAAAACGTAGCTAGAGTCATCTGTGTTTGTCTACATTATGCAGATATTATTCTTCAGTCGTGGCCTAATGGTTAGAGAGTCGGCCTTGTAACCCAAAGGTCGTGGGTTTGAGTCTCAGGTCCGGCAGGGATTGTAGGTGGGGGGAGTGAATATCCAGTGCTCTCTCTCCTCCCTCAATACCACGACTGAGGTGAAACCCTTGAGCAAGGCACCAAACCCCCAACTGCTCCCGGGCACCACAGCATTGGCTGCCAACTGCTCTGGGTGTGTGTGTGCGTGTGTTCACTACTCACTGCTGTGTGTGTGCACTTGGATGGGTTAAATGCAGAGCACAAATTCAGAGTATGGGACATCATACTTGGCCACATGTCACGTCCTTTCCTTTATTACTCAGTGTATTTTACACAACAGAGCTACATGTTCTCCATGGTAATATAGCAAAAGCACTGTCAATATGTAACCAAAACATACTAGAATTTGCCTTCACCATTTCATTGGTGAAGATTTCATTATTATCGATGCTTCATTTTTCTATGTACAATTAAGTTTTTTAGTTTTTGACCACTACTGCTCTCTGCGTCTTATTTGCCTGAGAAAATGTCAACAGCAGTCAGCAGGGCTGAGCGCTGTCAGTCTGATGGGACAGTGTCACCCCGGGGCAGAATATGTCCTCTCTTCTGATATTAGAGGGCACTCTGGAATGTGAGATGGCACTCAAGGGAAGAACTGCAGAGGGTCACTTAGAAATGACTTCTGCCTTTCCTTATATCCATGCTATCTCTAGGAACTCTCTATGTATTGACAGCTCTCTATATAGTCTGAAAGATGATTTTGTGAAACAATCTAAGGAAGGACTTGTATGATGAGATATGGTGCAAAGATGGTTTAAGTGCTTTATGTAAGTGATACTTGAAATGGAAGGGATAGATATTGTAACGGGGTGGAAGGAACACGCGACAAGGAGAGCTCAAATAAATACCCCGGAGGGTGGATTTATTCACAGATAAAGTGCTCAAGTGAGTGCGCTGGGTCCTGAGGTGAGTCGAGGCTTCTCCGTGCGTGAGTCGGTGCTTCTCCGTGAGCGTGTTCCCGTGTCGGTGAGTCCGTGCGGCGCTCGTGTGTGGGCTGCTTGGTCACGGGCTGGTTTCTGGAATGTAAAGGAGACAACACGTTAGACTTCAGCTTCTGGGAGAGCATCTCTTCTCCCCTTCCTCGGGCCTCACGCGGCTTATCTGGCCGTGGGCTGATGACTCTCAGCTGTGACCAATCAGCCCGTGATGAGCGTGTGCAGGTGTTCCTCGTCCGTTTCCAGGGCAACGCTGATGTGAGCTCGGGACGCTCGTCACAATATATGAAGTATAAGCAGATTCTCACATGTTTCTGTGAAGTTATTACAGCTGACTTGATTGACTTTATCAAGGTTGTTGAGGCGCCCTTTAATTTGTATTGTGCTGCTGTGATGTTGGAATCTGTGCCTGAACTTATAATTTTGTTGCTGCTCTTAGACTGAAGAGCTTTTGTCTTGTTTTGTCTTTAAAGTTTCAGTTGTTTACACGTCTTGAGACTTACATAGCACTCTGGAATACATTTTTGATTGGTCAGTTGTGGCATTTTACGGTTAATAAAGTTTAGGTTCAGTAAGAAATTAATCCCTTTATTCAGCATGGATGCATTAAATAGATCAAAAGTAACAGTAAAAACATTTATATATAATGACTTATATTTCAAATACTGTAAATGCTCTTCTTTTAAATTTTCTATTCGTCAAAGAATACTAAAAAAAAATGTCACCAACTAATATTAATCAGCAAAATTTTTTTGTCAACATTGATAATAATAAAAAATGTTTCTTGAGCACCAAATCAGCTTTAGAATGATTTGACTGGAGTATTAACAGGAATAAATTAGATTTTTAACTATATTAAAATATATATAAAAAAAAAAGGTTATTTTATTTTGTAATAATATTTCACAATATTACTGTTTACTGATTTTTTTTATCAAATAAATGCAGCCCTGGTTGAGCACAAGATACTTCTTTAAAAACTATTAACAAATCTAACTGGCCTCAAACTTTTGAACAGTGTATTTTCTTGAAAAGACAAAACAAAAACAGTGTAAAATTGAACACTGCCTGGAGTTTATTTTGTAATAATGGCCAACTGACTGTTAGAGAAGCATCCCAGCATGAAACCCTCCGTTTTGCCATGTATGATTTTTCTTTAGCTCTAAAGTGCCAAATCGTTATATTTCTTTTAAACACTGTCAACAGGCTTACTGTAGTTCACCTAAGTGAACAATTTACTTGCTGATTTCATCAAAATGTCTGTCTTCTCACTCAAGAGCTCTTGATCTTTGACTTCCCTTTCCTTCAATGCACAACCTCTCTAATCGTTAAGCATTCAGGTGAGGTTTTCTCTCCTCGGTGCAGCTTTGCGGCAAGAGGTTCTCACATTTAAAAAGCTTTTTGAAGTTGTTGGGAACTGCCGGCACTTCCTTTTAGAGTCGCTTTCCCAGAACAGCATACCTTGCTTTCCATCTAATAATAAGGCAATGCATTTGCTCTAAACACACTCACCATGAATTAATCCAACAGTGTTATGACCCTGAAGGGCCATTCAGTAAAATCTGCTTTTGAATTTGCCCAGGCCCCCTTGTAATGTACTGGCCCCCACTGTTTCTTCTCAGAGCGGCCATTTTCAATTAATCCCACTGCATAATGCATGACTACATTTAACAATCCAATGAACCGATATGGAGTCTTTGGCTGCAGAGGAACTCTGTTAATGGTTGTAAAATAGAGTTATACCACTCCGAATGAATTCATTAGTTTACTTAGTGACTCTGAAGGTATGATGCTTGTTGGGTCCTGGGCAGCTTTTGGCAGTCACTTGATAATGTTCATTTTATTTTCTGTAGAGAATTATAATGAGGCATGCAGCTTTTGCCGCCACTGGTGGAGGGAACGTTTGAGATAATTAGAAGATATTTTCAAGCACACCATTAACCCCAGTAGTAGAATATGGTTTAGGGACATAGTAAATATTTTTTAAAAATATCTAAATACAAGTTCATTTACTCTAAATACGAAATAGGAAGGAAGAAAAAAATTGTGGTCTTGGTTGAATGCTTTCCAATTAATTTCAAAAGTGAATGAATTATGTTGGATACTTTTTTAACATTCAACAAATGAGAGTGAGATATGGTTTAGGAATACAGTCAATATTTTAAAAACATATACAAGTTGATTTACTCTAAATACATAAATATGAAGGGAGAAAGAAAGCTGTTGGACAGGGCTGAACACTTTTCAATAAATTCCGGAAATGGATGAATTACATCAAACACGGTTTTAGCGTTAACACATAATTTACATTTACATTACATTTAGATTTAATAATTTTTATAATAAATAAAAAGAAAACAAGTAGATAGAATAGAAATAGACTAGAGTGTTAGTGTTAGAGGGTCAAGATTTTTATAATAAATAAAAAGAAAAGTGTAGAATAGAAATAGAATAGTGCTAATGTTAGAGGGTCAAGTTTTTATAATAAATAAAAAGAAAAGTAGATAGAATAGAAATAGAACAGACTAGAACAGACTAACTAGTGTTAGAAGGTCATGTTTTTTTATAATAAATAAAAAGAAAACAAGAAGATAGAATAGAAATAGAATAGGGCGTGCTAGTGTTAGATTGGAAGTGTAGATGGAAGAGATGCATTTTCTTAGCCATTTCTTGAAGATGGCT